ATAACATTGTTTAAAAATTTAAGTAAATTATTATTTTCAAATATATGCATTTAGAATATCTGAAAAATAGAAACATAAATCAAAAACAAAATAGAAAAGTACCAAACAAATACTCGTAATGGTAATGTACCAGTACTAGTCCAACTGCTAACGGTTTCCATCGTGGCTAGGCAATCTACCGTCTCGTAATAATTAAGATGTAGTCGTTCTCGGAAGGGTAACAATACGGGAGAGAAATATGCGTCGCCAAAGTGGCTTGGCGCAATGAACAAGTGGGGTACTTTGGATGGTGTTGTCAAAGGGAGAGCCCCTAATCGACACTTCAAGCCCAGTTTCACACAGTTTTTTCTCAAAAGAAAAAAAGTTTCACACAGGTAGCACCCACATGCAAGCTTAAGGAGTCGAGGCCAAAAGATAGATTTAGATTGGAATTGCACGTTTGGCTAGATCTTTTTTGTCACGTTGGCTTGAAACCCTTGGTCTGCTCGCTCGCTATCTCTAGTCAGCTTAGCTGCCTTTTTCCATTCCTCTATTACTAGCTTAAGAAATAATAGCATCATTTCTTATGGTTCATGGATTTGGGGAAAAAATAATGAATACAAAAAAATGTTTGTGTATTTAAAACATATTCACAAATTCAAAATAGTTTTTGAATAAAAAAATATGGATTTGAAACATGTTCATGGAATTGAAAAACAAATTATGGAATTAAAATTATTCCACATTCAAAAAATAATCGCACATAAGAATAAAATTCATGAATTTCAAAAAAGTTTGCATGCTCAAAAAAAGATTTTGATACAAAAGAGTTCATGGATTTGAAAAAACTAATGGTTCACTTGATTATTTTTCGTGCATTTGATTTTTATTTGAGAATTTTAGAAAATATTCACATTTTCACAAATTGAAATATGACCCAAAAATATGAAAATCGTTTGCTAAAAATGTTCACAAAATTTAGAAAATACTCTACCTTTGTCAATAGTTGATGCATTTGAAAAAAGTTTGAGATTCTAACAAAAGTTCACGCATTTGAAAGAACTTCATATTTTTAATAGAAACAAAAAAAGAAAAAAGAAAAGGGATGAAAAAACTATAAAAACAAACAAAACCAGATAAAAACATTTGAAAGGGAAAAAAATAAAAATGGGGTGGAAGTTTCTAGAATCTTCAACAAAACCGGAAGTTTCCCAACATCGGGAGAAGCTCCCAACAAGTATGATTTGCTAGATGGGCCGGCCATTTATCAAGGGGTGTGTGTGTCTCACCTATGAAATACACTATATTTGGCGATAGAAGCGCCAAATAAGATTCACCCGTCAAAGGGAGCTTGCTGCCCGGTAGAGCTATATGTCTCCCTATAGAGAGAACCAATTGTCTCTCCTCTAGGGCGAGGATACTCGGCCTGCCCAATACTATAGTTCTTAGGAACGGTTTTAGGAAGCTCCTGTGGACCTGTTTGGTCCGAGTTTAGAAGCTTCCATGTGTTTCTTCTCCTTCTTCTATGTGTTTTTATTTATTTTTTATTATTCTCAGTCCATGTCTACTTTTTCCAATGAATGTTGTCCATGTCAAATACAAGAAAACATTTCTTTAAATTAATGTTTGAACATTTCTTGAACAAATGTTAAACATTTTTAAAATACACATTAACATTTTATTAGATGGTATAAACATTTTTATATTTAATTAAAATTTCTTTACATTACATTAAGATTACTTTAAATGCCATAACAATATTTTTGGGACATGTGGCTATTTTTTTAAATGTCACATAATTGTTTTCAAATTGACACTAACATTTTTGTGCATTGTAGAAACATTTGTTCACAATTTGTTTTTCTAAATGATATAATTATTTGTATAGATGATATATGCTTTTTTATAAGGTTGCACGCATGTTTTTTATACTCCATGAACATTTTTTAAACACATGATAAGCGTTTTAAAAGTTTAAGTGAAATATTTTCCCATTACAGAGTTATTAGAAAAAACTAAAGAAACAAGCGAAGCAAGCTACTGGGCCGGCCTACTACTGACTCCGTATAGATGAGCCGAGCTATTGTCTCACAGTAGACCAAAAAAACTACTATCTCTGCATAAAGCGTGACATAACCGCGGCCCTTGTTGCCTTTTTTTGTTTGTACGTGCTCTTAGCCACATGGCACAGCAGTACACAGGTTACACAACTGGCTAGACCGGCTCATGATTTGCTGATGCCTTCAGAGAGATTCTCTTCGGCGCCCTGAGCTCCGATTAGGCTAGCTGGCGCTCGAAGGCAAGCAGTAATGGGCCAGCCCAGCATCGAACGGGTCCAGCAAAAATGTCGAAACAAAACAAACATCAAAAGGCGGGAGCTCCTGTTTGGCGCCCTCAGCGCCCCTTAAGCTAGTTGACGCTCGCAGGGGCCTGTAGCGGGCCAGCCCATTAACTTGCACTGAAGCACAGCGAAACGCAAAAGAAAGGAAAAAAAAAAGACGAATCGCTTATATACGGGAGAAGCCGGTTTCGAACCGCGAACACGACCATGGAAGATGTAGCCGGTAACCACTAGGTCGCCCTCAGTTAGTTGTCGAATATCTGTAAGTAGAGTTATTTGAACTTAGTTTAGTTAATATATTGACCCTTTTCCTTTTGCGAGTAACATATACTATTATGAAAACGAAAGCATAACTTTCATAATATGAGAATGTTTGTGAATTATGTTCATGGATTTTGAAGAACAATTCATGTTTTTATAAAAAGTTTGTGCAATTTAAAAAAAATCATCAAATATGAAAAAAGCTCGTGCAATTTTAAAAATCATCAAATATAAAAAAAGTTCGTGCAATATTAAAAAAGTTCATCAAATTTGAAAAAAGTTCATTGGATTTGAAAAAAGGTTCATTGATTTCGAAAAAAGTTCATCAATTTCGAAAAAAGTTCGCCGAATCTGAAAAAAGTTCATTGGATTTGAAAAAAGTTCATCGGATTTCAAAAAAAAGTACATCGGATTTGAAAGAAGTTCATTGATTTTGAAAATAGTTCATCGATTTCGAAAAATGTTCACCGAATCTGAAAAAAGTTCATTGGATTTGAAAAAATCATCAATTTTGAAAAAAGTTCATCGGATGTAAAAAAAAGTTCACCAAAATTGAGAAGGAATTGATTGATTTTGAAAAAAGTTCACAGAATTTGAAAAAGGATGAGGAAAAAACAAAAAGAAAAAGAAAAACCGAACTAACGTCGTCAATAAATAAAGTGACTGAAGTAAATATTCATAGAAGCGGTCATGGCCTGGTGGAAAAAAGCAAAACGGGCCGAGCCCAGCTGTGGCAGCTGCAGGCGCCCGTTTGCAAATTGCAGTGTAACAGGCGCCTGCAGCGCTAAATAGGAATTGCACTACTATTCTGCGAGAAGTGAAAATAGAACCCGCATATGCCAATCCTGATGCACTTCAGGCAATAACCGCTGCACCAGTAAACGTCGCATCTTAACATCAGCAATGGTGAGCCGACAAATTGTTGGCCGATGGCTAAGCCGGGCCGAGTGCCGAAGAACGTCGTAGGGCGAGCGCCAAGAGGACGAGGACATGCTGATAGGAGGAGCGTTGTGAGGTGAGCACCAAGGGGACGAGGACATGTTGTACGGAGCTCCAGACTCTGCATGGGCGGTCGGGGGGCATGGCTTCGCAGCGGCCCTTCTTGTTGACGAGTTCGTCGCTACGGCAGAGGCTAGATGCGTCGATGTGGTTCTGGGTTTGATCCCTCGTTCTTGCAATTTTTTGATGTTTCTCTAAAAACAAAAGAAAAAAAAAAGCAAAACAGGCCGAGCCCAGCTGTGGCAGCTGCCGGCGTCCGTTTGCAAATTGCACTCTAACGGACGCCTGCAACGCTAAATAGGAGTTGCTCTACTATTCTGCGAGAAGTGGAAATAGAACCCGCATATGCCAATGCTGATGCACTTCAGGCAATAACCGCTGCACCAGCAACGTCGCATCTTAACATCAGCAATGGTGAGCCGACAAATTGTTGGCCGATTGCTAAGCCGGGCCGAGTGCCGAAGAGCGTCGTAGGGCGAGCGCCAAGAGGACGAGGACATGTTGATAGGAGGAGCGTTGTGAGGTGAGCACCAAGGGGACGAGGACATGTTGTACGGAGCTCCGGAGTCTGCGTGGGCGGTCGGGGGGCATGGCTTCGCAGCGGCCCTTCTTGTTGACGAGTTCGCCACTGCGGCAGAGGCTAGATGCATCGATTCCGGAGACGGCTGAGCGAATTGAAGTAGGGCGTGAGGTCGGCGGGGGCTACGGGGTGTCGGCATGAGTGCGTGGTGGCCGCCGGAGGCAACACCCTCAGTGCGGCGTGGATGCTTTTGGCCGCCCAAAATTGAGAGTCGGCGGAGGCTTCTTCTCAATTATTTGAGCAACTAAAATAAATGCGAATTCAGCTGTCTTTTGAGAATTTAAGCCCCTTCCGGGCTTGAGCTTCTGTTAGAGATGCTTTAAGAGAAAATCCCGGTGATAAGATGACTGCCAACCAATCCATTTGCAACTAAGTTTGCATGTGAGGATGCTATGCCGATGACAGCTGCTAACGGCTTCCGAAAGGTCGTGATTGAAATGATTGTCAACAATCCCCAATGATAGTCACTAGTCATCACACTAGCATCCAACGTGACCAGCACAATAAACGTTGTTTCAGCAAATTACACCTACGACGGTGTTAAATTTTCAACATAATTTAAGGGAAATTTCACATATTTCAGTGGGGTCCAAAATATTTTTAACCTTAGAATTCCAAGTCAGGTTCAAATAAATTTTGTCACAAATTTTATTAGGTTAAAATTCATTTTAATTAAAAGAAATTTCAAACTCAAAAGCTGAAATATTTTTTGAAATATGCGGATGGTCCAAAATTGTTTTGCTTTCGAAATTTAAAATCTTGCTGACAGTACATCCCTTAGAACAAAACCCGACAACACGTACTATAGCCCAATTTTATTGCTAAACAATACCCATGCAACTACGCCGGCCGTGCCGCTACGGCACACAGTGGCACCTTCTTCCGTGACGTGATCCCAGGGGCCTCCTCCATGTCCACCACCGCCGACGCCTTATTCTCCAACGTAGGAATTGTCCAGTTGAATTGTCCCACCAGGTTCGCTAGTGCCAGCTCCACGACGGATGTCGTGAACCCGATCCCAGGGCACATCCTCCTCCTTGCGCCAAATGGTATGAGCTGAGAACGCCGCCCACGGAAGTCCACCTCGCTGTCGACAAACCGCTCTGGTCGAAACTCGTCGGCGTTATCCCACACCGTCGGGTCCCTGCCGACGGCCCATGCATTCACAATGATTCTTGTCCCACGCGGGACATCGTAAAAGTGAACCTTTGTGTGCTGCATGGACTCGCGAGGGACAAGGAGAGGCCCCGGCGGGTGCAGCCGCATCGTCTCCTTGATGACGGCCCTAAGGTGCTCCATTGCCGGGAGGTCCTGCTCGGTGATGACAAGGGAGTGACTCTTCGTGCAGTGCCGCCTGATCTCTTGTTGTAGCTTGCGGAGTAGTTCGGCCATGACCCATTCCAGAACGATTATGGTCGAGTCTGTCCCTGCTCCGAATAGGTCCTGTCAAAATTATTAAAAACAATGTGGTATCACAGACCACGTACTCAGTTATGGTGTCAAGCTAGATTCATAATGGTGCAAAGTAATGTTGGGAGAGTATAATTTCTTCTCTTTTCCAAAACAGGGACAACCGGAGAACATCTCACAAATAATTCATGCTTCCTCCGTTTCTAAATATTTGTCTTTCTAGATATTTTAACAAATGACTACATACAGAGCAGAATGAGTGAATCTACACTCTAAAATATGTCTACATACATTCGTATGTGATAGTCCATTTGTAATGTCTAGAAAGACAAATATTTAGGAACGGAGAGAGTAGAAAGTTAAAAAAAGATCAGCACCAAGTTATAGTTGTACACAAGGGAAGGTCGGCCTCAGAAATCAATAAGGGCAGCGCTACGCGCCGGCGCGCCGGTCGAAACATTCCGCCGGTCTAGCCCACATCGTTGGATTTGAGCCGTGCGACCGTTGGATCCGAGCATAAAAAAATAAACAAATCGTGCAGCTTCTTCTTCCTTCCTTTGCGTACGCATCTAGCCGCCATGGATGAGCGAGGCCCCCGAACCCGAAGCACCACCCGGCTTGGCCACCCCCGACGCCGGTCACTGCCCTCGCCACCGGTTGCTGCCCTCGCCGTCAGTTGCCTCCTTCGCCGCGTGTCAGCTCCTCCCAACCATCTCACTCGTTTGCAGCTTCCGTCGTGGTCAGATCCCCCGCCAAACTTGGCCATGGCTGACACGGAGCCTCCGTCGGCAGCGGTTGAAGCTCCCCGCCCCCGCGGTTGCAGCATCTGGTGCACCACCCCCCTTTGTCCTCGCCGTCGAGCTTGCCGCAGGCGTCGCCGTCTCTGCTGGCCTCCATCGACATGCATCGTACCTACAGAATTCCAGTGGTCGATTGAAGCAAAATCAAATAACGCTTCCAGCAAACCAAAACTTAGGTTCCAGCAAAAACGACATGAAACATTTGAGAGCTCTACAGCCAATGAAGCAAACAATTACATCTGTTCCAGCAAAGCAATACATCGGTTCCAGCAAAAACAAAATTTTGGTTCTGTAAAAAAAACATCAGCAAAAACGGCCACCCCCTTCTTGCAGCTCCCCTGGTCACCGGTTGTAGCTCCGGCGTACATGGTTGCAACTCCCGGCGTTTGACCGACATTGGATGCAGCCCTCCTCGCCACTGGATGCAGCTTCCTCCGATGAGGTGTGAACCTTGAAGCACATCCACCAGCTGGTTCTAGCAAATCGGGACACCGCTTCCAGCAAATATGAAAAAAGTTCATCAAATCAAATGAGGATGGCAGCAAAAAAGAAAAGGGTTGTACCAAAGAAAATGAGTGGATCCAGCAAACAAAAAACCTGGTTCCAGCAACCCTCCGGCTTCAGGACAAACTCGTCGCCGCCATGGCCGATTGCAGCTTGGTCATGGTGAACTAATGAAGCCCTGGCTGTGGTTGCCATGGAGAGGGCATGCATCCAGTTGCCGGCGGACAAGGCAACGAGCGCGCCCCTGGCTGTGGGCGGTCATGGTGATTTCTCCGGCGACTTGATTTGGCTGTTCGCTGGAGGTAGGAGATGAGTAACGGGGTGAATGAGTGGACGAGAAGCGTCTGCGCCGGATAAGGACGAGAGGAACGAGCGATTGTGGGCCAGGTGAGCTGGGCTATCGTGGTCATGTGGACATCCAGGCACTGTTTTTATTCAAGCGGAGTCGTACTAGTCGCACGCGACCGGCCGAGCGTTCGGCCGGTGCGCCGACGGAAAACGTTGAGCAAGCAAAATTTGCAAAATCTTCTCCGTTGGAAACATGAAGATAGGACAAAAGGGACCATACAGATACACGATGAGCGTCAGTCGTACATATGCTCTTGGAGGAGAAGGAAATGTACGGATGACGTTGATTACAAAAATTAAGTACTCATTATTATAGCTCGGCGATTTCCAAATTATGACACATCAACAAGTTCCACAGGCCCACTGCAACGACCGAGCGGTACGTCTGGCGCACATGCATGGGACTGAGATTTCACGAGCCTGGTCAATGCTTGATCCTTAGCCAATAGCTATCAATTTTACTTCATGAAAACCGTTCCGCTCAACCGACTGATGACTCGGGCACGTCGGCCTCCTTGCGGCCGTCCGATCCAATTTTGATCATACAGCACACAGCGTGCAAACTAATCAACTGGTTTTGCAACATATATTTTGTTGCAATATGTGTTTGTGCAACTCCATGCTTGTTGCGGTTATCCCACCCTTTGTATCCGTGGCTCCTCGCTTGGCGAGGTGGAACTAAACCCCCAACCAAGCACGCCCGGACGCCCGCCATGTAGGCTCTGTCAAGCCGGACCCACACAAATCATCCGAAAATACTATCGGTTTAGACCCACCTCGTTCTTTGAGGCGTGCGCCGGACGGCTTAAATAGACGCATCCGCAGACGTCGGTAAGCTTCTCTCTTGTTGCATTAGGTCCATCAATCTTAATTGGTGTGTGAACGAGGTAGCTTGACACCGGATTGCATTTTATCAACTGATGATTGTTAATCGTGTGTCAAGTTCGTCTGGTTCATATACGTTGATAACCCTGCTACAATGCAAGAGATTTTTTAAATTGATCTATGAATTTTATTTTGGCCTATACTAACTTTATATCATTGAATTTGTCTTGTATGATCGTTGTGCATAAATTTGAGAATTATGTTACGGCGAGGGTTGAAAGCTTCGGCGATGTCAGGACGCGTCTGCGGCCGTATAGGGGCTCAGATTAGCTATTCGTGGTTATAGATGCTCTTACGTACCTCGAGTAGAGCCTTGACGTTGTCCCTGGTCAAGCGCCACCCGGCCCCGCTCAAATCACTCTGCAGTGATAGCAGCACATGCACGAACGCCTCGACGTGGCGTCCCCCCGTGCCAGCGCTCGCGGCCACGACGATCTCCTCGAGGATGCGATCGATCCTCTCGAACGCCCTGCTCACCTTGGCATCCGTCTCGTCCACGGCGGCCACCCACGCCAGCCACGGGAAGTAGTCGCCGACGTGGAACTCCCCGAGCAGCGCGTTGGCCTCCTCGAGCAGCGCGTCCACCTTGGCGCGCCACCCGGCCCCGCCCGAGGCGCGCACCCCGAGCACGATCCGCCCGTTCACGTCCTTGGCGAAGCCGCTCAGGAGCTCGCTCAGCCGCACCACGCCGCCGCCTGCGTGTGCCTGCCGCTCCACCTTCCGGACAAGCTCGGCCACCTCTTCCTCGCGCACGCCGCGGTAGGCGCGCACCCTGGCGGGGCTCAGCAGGTGGAGCACGGCGATCTTGCGCACGCCTCGCCAGTAGGCGCCGTGGGGAGCGAAGGCGATGTCCGTGCAGCCGTAGAGGAGCCGCCGCGGGATGGCGAGCGAGGGCCGGTTGGCGAAGGCGTGGTCCTGCAGCTGCAGCACCTCGCGCGCTGCGTCCGCGGACGAGACGACCAGGGTGGGCACGCGGCCGAGGCGGAGCAGCATGACGGGCCCGTGCGCCGCGGCGAGCGCGTGCAGGGCGCGGTGCAGGAGCGCGCCGAGCTGGTGGAGGTGACTGGCGATCGGGAGACCCCGCGGGGACGGTGGGAGGCGGTGCGTGGGAGGTTTTCTGGCTCGCAGCAGTAGAATGGATGAGACGACCAGGAGGACTAGCATGGGCATGGTGACGTGCAGTGGGGCTAGCGGTGGGGGGAATGGCACTCATTTCAGAAAACACATTACAGTCGCTCAATTGAAATACTATATTTCAATTTATTTCAAAAACTGATTACACTCATTACAAAAGATAGATTTCATTAGTTTCAGAAAAACACATCACAGTTACTCCATTTGAAGAAACAGTTTCATAAACTGGGATATGAAACTCACAAAGAAAACTATATTTAGAAAAGTGGTTTCAATTATTTCAATATAAAATTGATTTCATTCATTTCAAAAGAAATGACTTCACTCATTCCATTATACTTATTTCGTTCGTTACCAAAATGTTTTGAAATTATCAGTTTGACATGTTTGAACAAACTAGTTTCAGAAAACTGATTTCACTTATTTCAAAAAATATTTTCACTAGTTTCAAAATCGACTCCAATTATTTCGAATAAGTAAATTTGAAATAAGTGAAATTTAAATTTTGATATGATTGAAATAGAAAAACTTAAACTAGTTTAAATATATTCAAAATTGGTCTTGTTCTACAGATCACATGTTCAGGAATTTGAATATATAAAATATTTCAATTATAGAAAATTAGTGTGAGAGGTATTGTACATCTAAAATTTTAAACAAAGATAAAATGGATGAATTTGTGTGTGAGAGAGAGGAGAGATTCTGCATGCATGCATGCGTACGGTTCATGTTAAAAGGTACTGCATCATTCTGACATTGATTAGACTTAAATCAGAAATACAAGAGATATTTTGCTATGAATATTTTCATATAGACATACACATGGTCCCACAACTTTAGATGTGACAGCATCTCATTGGTGGCAAGATCACCGGTAGCTCCCGGCTCCGGTAAAAAACACTTTGCGACGGTGGTAGTGGTTTCCATTCTGAGTAGTGTAGATGGAGGTGGTGCGAGTGTGCGAGGTTGGCTGGTGGCCGAGAGCATTTTATAGGCGTGGAAATGTGTAGAAGATTAAGAAATGGTGATTTCTGGGTACAAGCATCCTCGTTTGCACATGGAGATAATCTATCACACTTGAGCACGTGTGTTCCCAAAAACGATCACTTTTATGGGACCTAAGGCTAAGGGCATCTCTAACGCGATCCTCAAACCTTCCGCAACCGAATCGTCTATATCACACTGTCTGGACCGTAAAAGCCATCCAACGCCAACCTGTATCAGTTCGTGGCGTGGTCCGAACAAGTTTTCTATTGCCAGCCGGATACAAAAGTGGGTAGGTTTGCGGGAGTCCGGACCAATCCCAAGCCC